GGAGACCTTTACTTCATCTCCATGGCAGACAGGAAACTGAAGCAGATAATGTGACTTCCCCAGCAGCGTGCAGCTACTCTGACTCCTGGGCTATTGCTTCTTCTACAGCCATTTCTCCTTTCCTATTAACTCCTATGCCCAGGGCCCCCAAGGAAGTGCTCATGTAGATCCTGCCATTCCGGCACCATTGATCCAGTTGTTAACACTTTCACAATGGTGATTTCCACCAAGAGGAGCTCAGCTCAGTCTCCCTACCACCCTTCATTCACTCATTCACAGGTCAGTTAGAGGAGGCCCACCCTGGCCTAGTCATGGCAGGATGTCCTAGCTCAGTGATGGCGAACCTTTTGAGCTCGGCGTGTCAGCATTTTGAAAAACCCTAACTTAACTCTGGTGCCGTGTCACATATAGGAATTTTTTGATATTTGCAACCATAGTAAAACAAAGATGTATATTTTTGATATTTATTTTATATATTTAAATGCCATTTAACAAAGAAAAATCAACCCAAAAAATGAGTTCGTGTGTCACCTCTGACATGCGTGTCATAGGTTCACCATTACTGTCCTAGACAAAGCTTTATCCAAGAGAAGTTAGCCAGGTTTGAGGACCAGGGAGGGCAGCATCCAGGCAGAGAACAGCAGCCTGTACAAAAGTGTAGAGAGAATGTGATCTACTTGGGAAGAATGAGTATTTTGATGGGAAAATAAAGCTGGAGAGATGGGAAGGTGACAGCAAAAACTTTCGAATAGTAAATAATTACACACCTGGCCTACCCTGACCACCTTGTTTAAAATGGCAACTGCTTTATTTCTTAATTTTCCATAACACCATCTTCTAACCTACTGTGTACTCATTTTCTCTGTCTAGTGTTTATTGTATTATCTCCCCACCACTCAAATGTGGTTTGGGTTTGTTGGCCAATGTATCCCCAGCACCTAGAATGGTACCAGGTAGGCACTCAGCACGTATTTGTTGCATCAGTGAATCTGTGCCAGACTCTGGGCTTCAGAATAAAAAGTCCCATCTCTCAAAAGGGTCAGTTTCATGTCCACAGGGTTACAATACGGTATAGAAGAGAATATAATGAGGAGGGCGTCCCTGAGCCGTTGGGCAATAGGGTGAGTCCTGAGCTGTCCTCTCCCATGGAAGAGGAGGAAATGGGAATGTGCTGGGCAGCCTGTGCTACCATTTCCTAACCCAGCCCGTGCCTCCCCAGCTGTCCATGCTGTTCACCGAGGAGTGCGACAAGGTGCGGGACCTGATGCACGTGCACTCGTTTAGCTATGACTTCCACCTGCGCCTCGTGCACCAGCACGTGCTGGGCGCCCACCTGGTGCTGCGGCACGGCTACCACCTCACCACCTTCCTGAGGCACTTCCTGGCCCACCACCCTGATGGGCCCCACTTTGGTCGCAATCACATTTACCAAGGTTGGTTGGTGCCCAAGGGCAAGCCCCTGAAGCTGAAAAAGAACAGGCCACAAAGGTGTGGGCTGATGGGCTCACTTCCTAGGGCCAGACGTCGACTTTCTATCCCATGTTGTTAGTTGCCTCATATCGCTTGGACCCTGCCCCCACGTCTCTGTCTTAACTTGGTCACAGTCTGTTTCATATCAAAGTTTAGATCCTATGTTGTATACCCTGCCCTGCCTGTCCTGAGCCACTTTGTCCCATCTTGATGTTCTACAGGACCTTAGGAGCTCCCCAGAAAAGCAGGGCCAGTCTGCTTGTCAATCAGAGCCTTAGGACCTAATCCCCCAGCCCATTCGATCAGTGTGTCTATCCCAGGCTCACTGTCTCCTGTAACTTGCCCCTTAGGGACCCTGGAGCTTCCCACACCGCTCATTGCTGCCCACCAGCTGTACAACTACGTGGCTGACCATGCTAGCTCCTACCACATGAAGCCATTGCGGATGGCTCGGCCAGGGGGCCCAGAACATAATGAATACGCCCTCGTGTCCGCATGGCACAGGTATGGAGGAGAGGGGACACCAGCATGTTCTCTGGTGGAGCTGTGGTCAGGACCATCCTTACAGTTGGGAGACCTGTGTTTTCTTGGGCAGAAGGGGTGAGGTTGACTTCATTAGGACCTCAGGCTGACATCTCATCCCCACAGCTCCGGCTCCTACCTGGACTCTGAGGGGCTTCGTCATCAGGACGACTTTGATGTGTCTCTGCTTGTCTGTCACTGTGCTGCGCCCTTTGAGGAGCAAGGAGAGGCCGAGCGGCATGTTCTGCGGTCAGCAGATCCCCTACCTTGAATGTGCCCATTGTCCAGCCTGCCCCCTGCCCTTTCCATTTCCTGCTGTAACCGCCACTCTGGCCCCCTCCCCATTCCAGGCTGAAGTTCTTCGTGGTGCTCACCAGCCAACGAGAGCTCTTTCCCAGACTAACTGCTGACATGCGCAGGTTCCGGAAGCCACCCAGACTTCCCCCTGAGCCAGAGGCTCCTGGGAGCTCCGCTGGTAGCCCTAGGGAGGCCTCAGGGGTTGGTCCGGTGCTTGGCCCAGCTCCTCTGTTCCCTCCGCTGGCTACAGAGGTGGGCGTGGCACGGGCGCGACTGGCTCAGCTGGTACGGCTAGCTGGAGGGCACTGCCGCAGGGACACCCTCTGGAAGCGCCTCTTCTTGCTGGAGCCACCAGGGCCTGATCGGCTGCGGCTAGGGGGGCGCTTGGCCCTGGCTGAGCTGGAGGAGCTCCTAGAGGCGGTCCATGCCAAATCCATTGCGGACATTGACCCCCAGCTGGTAAGGAACTGTGGGTTCCAGAGGGGCTGGGCTGGACGTTAGGAATTCCATGGGCAGCCAGGGTGGAGGGTGCAGGGTGGCTCTGGGACAGCAGGTCCAGGCCTGTGGACTCCCCCAGGACTGCTTCCTGTCCATGACGGTCTCCTGGTACCAGAGCCTGATCAAGGTTCTCCTGAGCCGCTTTCCCCAGAGCTGCCGCCACTTCCAGAGCCCAGACTTGGGAACGCAGTACCTGGTAAGTCTCCTTGACCCGCCTCAAAAACAAACCTTCCTTGGCTCGAGATCCTCAGGGCCAAGTTCTGAACCTCATCGGTGGTTGGTCTGAGAGGCTGCAGTCCCAGAAAGGACCTCTTGGGCTTTAAGCCGTCTCATTCTCCCCAAAGTGTGGCCCTCACACCAGCACCAGCAGCACCTGGGAGCTTCCGAAATGCACTCACCCCTGACAGAGAATCCGCCTCTCAGCCAAATCCCCAGGGAACTGTGTGCACTGAAGCTGAAAGCACTGCCAGGGAGGCCAGGGAAAGAAGAGCTGTGGTGATAGGCGCACACACGGGGGGAGTAAAAGGTTAGAGATGAGCCAACGAGAGCAGTAGTCCAGGAAAGGACACTTAGGAGAAGACTTCACAAGAAAAAGTAGGAGTTCGTTCGTGGTGATGGGTCCTGCAACCTGGTACCTGTGGGGAAAATTAGTTTCAAGGTGTTCTGAAGGGACATCGGGGATTGGCACTCAGGGGAGAGATCTGGGCAGCGTCTGTATGGACAGGGGGTCCCTGCAGCCCTGGGAGTGGAAGAGATTGCCCAGGGACAGACAGACAGGATAGGACAGTCCAGGGCAGTCAGAGAGATATAAAACCTGGGATAGCACAGGAGGTAAGGAGGGGCCTGTCAAGGGTAGAGAACTCCCCGTGGTGGTTGGGCTGCGGTGCCAGCTCTGTGCAGCGCCTCCAGATAGATGACTTCAGGAACCTCCCAGTCAAGCCCCCCTCCCCTTCACTCTGATGAAGCTGGACAGGCTGACCAGGGGCCAGTGAGGATGAGGACTGAGGTTGCGTTTGAAGGTGAGGTTCTAGGTGACGGCGGAGTGAGTGCAGGTGGGCTTGGGTGTTGGTGATGGAAGCAGCCCTTCTTCAGACTGGTCCCCCCACGTCCAGGAGGCCCTCAGGAGGGTCTGTGCTTCCTCAGGTGAGACGAACCTCCCTCCCCATCTCATTTTGTCTTCTGCTGCAGGTTGTGTTAAATCAGAAGTTCACTGACTGTTTTGTGCTAGTGTTTCTGGATTCCCACTTGGGAAAGACGGTGAGAACAGGGGGTGTGGGACTCTGTGTCAGCCTGGTGGGAAGCTGTACCCCAAATGCTGCACCCGAGCCTGCTGAGGTTGGGATGCCTACCTGCCCTTCTCTCACCAGTGGACCCCCACTGTGTTCCCCAGTCTCTGACAGTGGTTTTCCGAGAGCCCTTCCCAGTACAGCCCCAGGACAGCGAGAGCCCCCCTGCCCAGCTGGTCTCCACCTACCATCACCTTGAGTCTGTCATCAACACAGCCTGTTTCACCCTCTGGACCCGTCTCCTCTGAGGAATGGACCGCTGAATGTCACTGTTCCTCGAATCATGATCTATAAGATTACCCACTTGAAGCAAGACTGACCAGCCCTGTGTGCCCCAGCCCAAGCCTGGACACTGAGGGATACCAACAGCTTTGTGCATCTCTCTGCGGGGTCTGTAACCCCAGCCTGGCAGCAGGGACTACCCTCCCTAAACATTCACAGGGCTCTAGCAGGTCAGGACACCTCCCTGAGGTTCCCATCTCTCAGGCCCCGGGGCCTTCCAGAGGGGACTCCTTCCTGCTCACCTGGTGGAGTCCAGGACTTCTTCACACCAGGTGGCAAGCGCTCACCGAGGGCTCCTCTGCCTGAATCCCGCCTCCAAGTCACCCACCTCCCACCTTGAGCTCTCTGGTCCTCACTGCCCACTGAGACATCACTGGTGGACATTGCCATTGAGATAAGACACCTGGGCTCCAATCCCAGCTGTCTTTGGAGCACCTGAGCCCGAGCAAGTCCCTTTGCTTCCGACCCCTGGGGCCTCAAATGTATGTGAGGAGGTGGACTCAAAGCTCTCCCTTCTCCACAGCAACACTGCAGACTGGAGGACTCAGACGTGAGCTGTGTCCCTTCCCAAGAGGAGGGAAGCGATCAGGGAAAGCGAAGGGTTATAGACACTGTGTGTCCCAATAACATACATGTATGAAAATGTTCAGAAACTTGTCTTTAATTCCAGAGGATACTCAGGATGCTCAATTCACTGTCCCAGAGAGGCAAGTGGGTGGACTGCAGGACCTCACTGGCCAGCCTGTGAGCGGCCCCGCCTATCCCAGTAGGAACGTAGCCAACTCAAGCCCTCCACTGTGTCTCCTGAGGGGAGGGTGGGGCAGCAGCATCTCAACCCATGAGGAGGAAAACAGCTCCTGTCCAATACCCGTCCCCCAGTTCTCCGGTTCCCAGGGCCAAGCCTGGAGCCTCAGCCCGCCCCTCACCTTGAGGCTGGTACTCGCAGCCTACAAAACCGTTGTAGCCTTCGTCTTCCAGCAGTTGGAATAGATAGGAGAAGTTCAGCTCTCCAGGGCTGCCAGGGTCCCCCCGGCCCGGGACCTGTGCCACCTGCACATGCCCTAGGGACAGATATGGGCAGAGGTGAGGCTCAGGCCTGAAGGACAGGTGTGGTGGGGCGGGGCGGGGGGCGGATTGGAAAAGTGGGAGAACAAAGGAAGCCGCACAGCAGATGAGGACGGAGCAAGGGGAGGGACCCTCTCACCAACGATGGGCAGGAACTCGCGGATGTTTCCTGTCAGATTCCCGTCCATGATCTGCCAGTGGAATATGTCCTGGTGGAGATTACTACAGTCAGAACTGCCTGTCATGACCTGCTTCCCAGTTGGAGAGCATGGGCCCTGAGCAGCACTCCTTTTCTTCACGTACCATTTGTAACTGGAGGTTGGGCCTTCCGACCTTCTGTAAGATGGCTGCCGCTGGAGAGAAACCAGGAGGGGGGTGGAGGGGCATGACACTCGAGGAGGGCACAAGAATCAAAGGGACAGGAGGCGGCACAGGGTGGGGGTCCTACCCTGCTGGTGCGAATCCAGGAAGTACTGGGGGTCAGTGATGCGGGTGTTAATGGGCTCCAGCAGTCCCACGAGGTTCTCCTAGCACCGTGTTGGATCTGTGAATAGAGCTCTTCCCCACAGGCTTGGCCTCTATCTTTGTCACTGACCAAGCCCCTCACCAGCCCCTCTGACCTCAGCCAGTGCCCAGCCTTATGCCGGCTGCTCTCCGCACTGTGCACCCTTCCCTGCACTCAGATACATTCATGTGAGTATGTGTGTCTGTCTTCACTCATCTCACCTGAGCCAAAACCCCGGCTGCGTGCCTCAGGTTCTCCAGAAAAACTGTCTCCATTTCACCCTTGACTGCTGCTCGGTTGGCACCCCGGGGTACTCGGCCGGCCATCAGGTGAATCCTGTGGGGAAAATGGGACCGGAAGGGGCTGTGGAGTCCATCCCAAAGCAGGCCTTTGCTCCCTCAGCTCCTCTTCCAGCTGCCCTCCTCCCATCCCCCAAAGGTCTCTGGTCCATACCACTTGGCCCTGAGCTCAGGCCTCAGACACACCTGTGTCGGCTTTTGGCCCAGCCTTTTCCCACAATCCTGAGGGTCAGTCCTCCTGCCTCAGAGTCCAGTTCCTCACTTAGCCCCTCCTGTGCTTTCAGCCTCCTTTCCAGGGGCCCTTCTCAGCCCTGAAACATGCTGGAGTCTCATTTTTAGACATTTTGACCCAAACCCTTCTTGAGAATTCCATGCTGCTTTGTCTCTATTTCCTGCATGTTTTTTAGCTGCTTCTCATCTGATTTCTGACCCCACCCCCTCCCCACCAATAGCGACCCCTTACTGCCAGTTCCTTCTCAGCCGATTTAGACCCGCAGGATTTGACATTTCATCAGCCCCACTTAGAGCCTTCCACCTCCCATCACCACCTGATCTTTCTCAGCCACATCCAGCCTCTTGAACTTTGCTGTACACACCAGGCCGCCTCTTGCCTCTGGCCACAGCATCCCTGCCTGGAATGCTCCTACATCAAGCAAATGCCCACTCCTTAAGACCCAGTTCAACATCACACCTGTAGGAAGCTTCCTCTAATCCCAGACAGGTGCCTACTCTGCTCCCACTGCCTCCGCCTCCGCGCATTGACCTGTTCTCAAATGTATCCCTCCTCCGTTTTCTGTTTACTTTGCTATCTCCCGGGTCGGACTGAGCTCCCAGCATGGGATCCCAGCAGGGGAGAAGCATGAAAGTGTTGCCAACTGAGAATGACACACAACAAATATGAAAGGCAATTTACAAAGCACCAGGACTGCTGGAGTGTAGAAGCGCCAGCGCGCTCAGACTTCTGAGCCTCTCTCAAAACCTGGCGTCCTCATCCGCCACCCCCCAAACACGTGCGGTAGGGTCTTGGGTCTTAGAAGGGGAAGCGGAAAGGGCAGGATACCTGGGACAGCCCAGAGCCTTAGCGTACAGCACCGCCTGCTCCAGCCCCTCGCGGAAGGCCGCCTGCCTCCCGGGAACGGCTCCCAGCCCCATTTCCCCCTCCTCTCGGTCTCCTGCGGAGAGAACGGACCTCAGCGCCCGGCTCAGGCGCCCGGCCCGCACCTCCCGGGCCCGGGCCCCACGGCGCACCCGGAGGCGTGTTGATCAGCACCAGCTGCAGCCCCGCTTCTTGCGCC